CTTCGTTGCCGAATGACGAGTATGTAATTATTCATACAAACATATCGTGAATCATTCGTCAATAGAATAATACTAGGCTATTCCCGAAGCCGTATCGCCTTGGGTAGAATTAATTTGGTACGTATCAGTTACTGCACAGTAATAATTGCATTACTCAAAGTCTTTTTGAGGAACTGATGGCATCACCTGGAGGACCTCTGATGCAGTGCCAGCAGCCCATCAATTCTAAATGTAACACTAACACTCTTGTAAAACTTAGTAAGAACAAATTAAAAAGATATGTTAAGGTCAGAAGGTATATTTTAAAAACTAAGAAACTTATAAATAAAGAAAAGACATTTTATAAAAATATTGACTTTGTTAAAGAACGTACACAGTTACTACAAAAATTAGATACTTGCCGTTCCATAATTGAAGAAAATAGATTAACATATGAACAAAATACGGATTCATTGAATATTAAATTAAAAACCCTTAAACAATCGTTATCTCAAATGACACAGAATTATAATAACTCAAAAAAACAGATAGAAGAATACATTCTGGCCTTAAAGTGTCTATCTAACACCTCCCTTCACGAAGACACACCTGTAAACTGTCACTCTTTGGTATCGAATCAGAGCATTAATGAAGAAAATGACACTGATCCAGTATGTGAGTCCTTGATTAATAAATCTGTTCACTCAGAGACCACAATTACATGTAATTCTTTTAAGCAGAGAAACTTTCATAGGTATATGGTGTTATGTGACGAATTTGGTAAAGATCTGGGTTGCTTACTACAAAAACAGCTGGGTGAAAATACAATTAATTATTGTTTGCCAGGTGTCACAATGCACCAATTAATGAAGAAAATATTAACTCTTGAACTTGACAAAAATACAAGTTTAATTATTTTAATTGGTAATAGAGGTAATGTTGGCAAAAATGACATTATGACTTACTATAACTCTTTGTGTTCTTTAAATGTAAATAGAATAGTTATGTATACATTTCCTTATAGTAAGAGTCTATCAAGTGAAGAAAATAATATTAGGTACAGGCTAAATTTGACATTAAGTACCATGTCTCAGTATAGTGGTCAAAAAGTACATTTAATTGATATAAATAAATTAATATATAATTTTAAAATGACAAGAGATAAATATTATCTTTCATATTACCATAAGAGACAAATAGCTTCTTCGCTATTATTTTATTTTACACACATAGCCAAAAACTTGGCTAACACTACTGCTTCTATTGAGCAGCATAATTATGTGGATCAGACTTTGGAATTTGTTCCAAATACTGACATTAATTGTAATTTAAATTAGTTCGTAAGACAACAGAGGAGCTCTCTAGCTATATCATGACCAAGGAAAAGTCTAAATTTCTAAATATTGTTCACCAAAATATACAAGGCTTTTCTGGTAAAGACTTAGAACTATGCTTATTTTTAAATACAATGAATATAAACATTTTATGTATTACAGAGCACTGGCTCAGAGATTATGAATTAGTTACAGGCTTAGATAATTATACAGTTGTTAGTAGTTTTTGTAGGAAATCGGCTATCAGGGGAGGCTCTCTCATAATCTTACAGAACAATCTTAAATACAAAGAACGTACAGATATTGTTACACTTTCAGTTGAACGTAATATAGAAATATCTTGTGTGGAACTTGAAGAAACGATCATAATATGTGTATATCGGCCCCCATCTGGGAATTACACTCAATTTGAGTCGGCTATGGAAGATGCTTTCAATATAGTATGTAGATGTAATAAAGTGGTTGTTGTGTGTGGTGATTTTAATATAAACATTTTAGTTAAGTGTCCATTAGTGAGTAGGTTTCTAAACTTATTTAAATCATATAACTTGGAGCATACCTTCTTTGAGCCTACCCGCATCACACATGCATCAGCGACCTGTTTAGATAATATTTTTTGTAATAGAAATGTTTTTAATAAATCAATAATAAATTGTATTAATTCTGATCATAGCGGACAATTAGCCTCTATTGAACACCATCATGCTTCACCCAAACATGACCTAACTTGTAGACCAATTACACAAACGGGTATAAATAAATTTCAAGATAGCGTTTATCACAAAATATCGTACTTACCAGTTTATAGTAATAATAATATTTTGTATGAAGATTTATTCAATTTAATTAAAGATGAATTTAATATAATATTCAAACGCAAAGTTATTAAATGCCATAGCTTTAAAAAGAAATTTAGTGATTGGGCCACACTGGGTATTTACAAAAGTAGAAATAAGTTGTATCAATTATATGCTCTCAAGGCAACCTCATCTGATCCTAAGTTTATAGAATATGTCAAAAACTATTCAAAAACTTTTAAAAAGGTGTGTGCCATAGCAAAAGCTAAGTTTTTATCAAAAAAAATTAGTCTTTCCGATAATAAAATAAAGACAACTTGGAATATAATTAATAATGAAACTGGAAGAAATAAATTTAATGAACACACATATTCTTTAAAAATAGACAATAAGATTATTAGGACAGATGATGCCGTTGCAAACACTTTTGTAAATTTCTTTTCTAGTGCACCATTTGAAACGACTAGAAATCTTAATTCTTGTTCTAGGTTAGCAATGACCCTCCTTGAGTCAAGTGTTGATAAGTGCAGTAATGATTTTCATTTTAGACATATCAGTAGTGACTGTATTATAAAAACTTTTAACTCAATTAAAATTAAAAAGACAGAGGATTATTGGGGAATATCAACATATATAATAAAACCGATTATCACTGTTATTGCGCCACAACTGGCCATTATATTTAACAAATGTATTGATGAGGGAGTGTTTCCAGATCTAATGAAATGTGCTAAAGTTATCCCTCTCTTTAAGGCTGGTGACAAATCAGATCCCAGCAATTTTAGGCCTATATCTGTATTACCAGCGCTAAGTAAAGTATTTGAGAAAATAATTTATAACCAATTACTAGCACACTTTTCTATAAATAAGCTATTTCATTTAAAACAGTTTGGTTTCACTAGAGGCAAAAGTACTACTGATGCTGGAACTGCACTTCTCAAACACATCTTTGATATATGGGAGAGTAAGCACGATGCTATTGGCATTTTTTGCGACTTATCAAAGGCGTTTGACTGCGTTAGCCATGAAACATTGTTAAATAAAATGAAGCATTATGGTGTATCAAATATTTCACTAAGTCTGATACAGTCTTATCTTTCTGCTAGGATTCAGAAAGTAGTTATAAATGAAGCTGAGTCTACAGGAGCACCCATTTCTATGGGCGTGCCCCAGGGTTCAATATTGGGCCCATTGCTTTTCCTTATTTATATCAATGACCTTCCTCACTTTACAAGAGATTTGTGTGAGACAGTACTATTTGCTGATGACACCTCTTTATTGTTTAAAGCTAGAAGAGGAAATGATTGTTATGATGAAGTAAATTGTGCTCTCTCTGAAGTCCTTCACTGGTTTACGGTAAATAATTTAAAACTTAACTCCAGTAAAACAAAATGCGTTAAGTTTACTCTACCTAATGTGAGGCAGGTTTATACTAGTATAAAAATAAATGACCAGCCTGTAGAGTTAGTGGATTTTACAAAGTTTCTGGGTATTACTTTAGACTCTCGTCTACAATGGGATCCTCATATTGATGCCTTGTCAAGTAGATTGAGCACTGCAGCTTTCGCTGTTAAAAAGATAAGACTCTTAACTGATGTGGAAACGGCAAGATTAGTTTACTTTGGTTACTTTCACAGTGTTATGTCATATGGCCTTTTGTTGTGGGGCTCAGCCGCTAATATCGAAAGTATTTTCATACTGCAAAAGAGAGCTGTTCGCGCCATATACAATTTAAAGGCAAGAGAATCCCTTAGAGAAAAATTTAAAGAAATTAATATTTTAACACTGGCGTCGCAATACATTTATGAAAATTTAATATATGTAAGAAAAAACTATGATGAATTTGCAAAAAAAAGTCAAACCCATAACCTTAACACGAGATTTAAGAACAAGCTTGCCGTTCCATGTTTCAGACTCCAAAAATCAAGAGGTTCATTTCTGGGTTGTAGTATTGCATTGTTTAACAAAGTTCCCCAAGATCTGATTGAGCTTCCACTGACTAAATTTAAATCTCAGATCAAAAATACTCTTATGAATAAGGGCTATTATAAAGTTGATGATTATCTGAATGATCGTAATGCATGGACATAGTGTTTCTTATAATTTGATATTAAATGGGTATTACTCATTTTTCATAACAGTAATATTGTACCTATCTAATGCCGCTTCCTATATACTACTTAAAATGTTAACTATAAAATTAATTGTAACTATTTATATTCTAGATGATGTAATGGAAAGTGACTTCAGACGTATTTCTGAAGTAATTTTTCAAATTGACGACACTGTATATAACAATACAGGGAGAAAAAAACAGCCCTTGCTGAGTTTCTTGCCGGTTCTTCTCAGTACAAGGTCTCCCGCCGTAGTTTTGCGAACCGATGGCGTAGCTTCTTGACCTTCACAAGTGCTTGTAACAGCCTAGACTGAATAAATGACATTTCATTTCATTTCATTTCATTTCACTATCTGTTTACTGTATATGTTGGAAACATACGGTTTACTAGGAAATTATATTTGATACCTTTATGGAACATGTACTATTATAATATTGTATGCACATTTATGATTTTAGTAGGATACATATATAAACTAATTCATAGAAACCTAGTACTTGCAGTTTGCTGACACTGTTAAAAATTCAGCCAAAAACCAGGCCAACTATTTATGTTTACTGCAGGGACAGGGGTCTACCCTTTGGATGAAATAGGAAGATAGTGACCATGAACTTCTACGCCCGTGAAATAAACTTAACCTTAAAACGGGGCGGCAGGCTGCAAAGGGTGGCACGGCTCTGTTTTTTATACCCTACCTTTAATTACCGCTGCCCTATCTTAACCACCACGAGCCACGAGCTTTAGATACAATCGCATTTGTTCTTTCTGTGCAGATGGAGCGCGCCAACCGCAAGTACATCCTGACTCAGGGTCCGCTCGCGTTCACAGTGAGCCACTTCTGGCTGATGGTGTGGGAGCAGCACAGCCGCGCCATCCTCATGCTCAACAAGATCATCGAAAAGAACGAGATCAAGTGCCACTGGTACTGGCCCCACGGCATCGGCGCCGAACACAAGATGGCGCTCACCGACGTACAGCTCACCGTCGAGCAGCTCAGTGAGGAGGACTGCAGCTACTACTCCACCAGGGTCTTCAGGTGAGCCTTCTCATCAGCCTGATAACGTCGCCACTGCTGGGGCACAGCACTCCTTTCCTATTGACGAAATAGGGAGATTAGACCAGGACACCATTATGGAGGAAGGGCGAGTCCTAACGTTTGCAAATGCTTTCGGGACTAACGGCTTATCATGCTTTCCGAAGCACAGAAGAGATCGATGTAGTACATTTTTGATTACCCATCCTTTGAATGCGAAAGTTGCTTTCTTCTACTACTAACTGCGGAACGCGTTTACCAATGCTCCATCAAAATCCTCGAAATGTTAAACTTCAGTTGAGGTTAAAATTTTGATAACTTTTTCTATTATTCTGTAATCTGTTAAATAAAAACAGCGACACGCGAAATGATATTATAAAAGCATCACTTTCTTGAAACGTGATTCAAGTACGGGATACGGAAACCATACTTTCTCGGCATAGTTTTGATAATTTTAAATCATCCGGCTGGATTTGGTGATATATATAATCGTGGGTGGGTTAGTAGTTGCTCAGTTCCCCGTGCAGATAGTGAACTAACAGACACAGTTAGTCGTAATATTGGAAAGCATCTTAAACACAACGACGGCGCTCGACTAGATGAACTATGGGACAAAAAGTGGTTTCTGTGATGTGGCTTTATCCGTAACCTCGATGATGGACCGTGATTTCTAAACTTAAAAACTAATGACGAGATAATATTGAAAGAATTTTGGTGTACTACGATAACGTCTAGACACTTACCATTGGCGACGGCGCACTTCCGCCCGAGCGAATGTTCGTAACATTTCACTGAAATACGACGTTATCATTCATCTATACAATTGCTTTTAGGAATATTTTTACCAAATTCATATTTTTCATAAATTTAATACTCCCAATTTCCAATGTATCCTGGGACACCAAATATTTTTAATCTAAGTTTCCTACTGGCACTTCACATTGCTATATGTATAGACAGCGTTCTCTCCTTTTAATTAAATATAAAACATGATAAGGATATACTGCACTCAAATTTGGTCATGACAAATGCGAATAGCCATGGGATCTGCTACCAGTTTGTTAACTAGTCCAGTGATGCCAGATTGGGGTATTAATAGTAGTAAAGGAAAGAAGATGTGCATGAGTCACTCGTTCATGCATATGGACAAAGTATAATCGTAGCGAAGTTCTTTAATCTTCATACTTTCTACAATTTAATTTCCTCTAATGCCACGAAAGAAGTGGCGTGGAATATTTGCTGGAACAGATATATACGATACGATGTCTCATGGACATTGCAATAAAACCCTTTTTTGCATGACGTGAACGATTTCAGCGGTGCCATTTCTGAGCGACATTTTTAATGCTATGATGGCACACAAAAACAGACACACAGATAAGTCATGTATATAATCGTCCGGTGCCTTGCGTTGAACCACTGCCCTTCATAATGCAGGTATTAGCTAGCATGAACGTTAGGAGTCCTAGTCATAGGAGGGAGTGCAAATAACAAACCCAGCTCGATGTATTTAATTTTGTTGAGACGCGTTTTGTTGCACTGCAATAATCTTATGAATTAATTCATAAATCACTTAAAAATGTTGGTCAAATCTCTATTTATTTGCTATTTCCTCAAGTTTAGGCGTTTTTTTCTGAGAAGGTATCATTTTGGCGTAAAGTAATTTTCTATGTAGCGGAAATCATAAAAACACTTCATGCAATCCTGCACTAATCATAAACCGCACATTCCCGCTCTCATGGACTGTTTTCGATGCTTTTTCTTTGGTTTTTATAAATGTTTCTTTGAGATTCCATCACACATCAGATCCCAGCTGATGTAAGTCCAATTAAGATGATAGCAATTAAAACCGAATAAGTAAACATTATTAGACCAGGAAACGTAATAGACACTGCTATTCGATTAGTAACCGCCTGCTATTTCTTTTACACATCTTCACCGAGTACACCTGATATTTTTTTTTTATTTGTTTATTTTAGGTCACTTTTTAACATCTAGGTCATTAGCGACCACATTTTAATAATGTGAATTAAGCTTAAACTAAGTTATACATATTTATCATTTTTAGGAATTTCAGTGTTCGGGTGTATCCATCTTGGTTTAAACAATTTGCCAAAGTATTAGGTACATTACATAATAGTTTTTCATTGTCATATGCAGAGCATTCTATCAAAAGATGGTTAACTGTTAAATCCAATCCGCACTTGCATTTGTTTCTGGGAGCTTTAGTTATCAAATGGATGTGAGTTATGTTTGTGTGCCCAATACGTAATCTGGTAACTACTACTTCATCTTTTCTACAATTAAACATTTTAGGTGATTTCTCAAAAATAGAATGTCTGACATTGAATAATTTTCTTGTATTTTCAGTACTCCACAAATGATCCCAAAAATTTATTATTTTGTTTTTTATGTGTTTTTGTAATTCGGCAGGTGTAACTTTTACTGTATTACAAATATTATTCTCATTGGTTGCACTTTTAGCTTCTGCGTCTGCTTTGTCATTACCAGCAATACTTTGATGACTGGGAATCCATATGATTTTAATTTTACACTTATTATTCAGAAGGTTAGCCATGTGTCTAATTTTCATAATAAGAGGGTTTGTGTTATTAGAATTTTGTAAAGCTGTTAAACATGATTTTGAGTCTGTGTAAATGACGTATTCCTTAGAGTTTGTTAAATTTTGAATAATTTCTAGTGACTAGTATTGCTGTCGCTTCACAACTAAAGAGAGAGAAAAAATCCCATAATCTATACCGATAGGTCCTATCATCAGATACTATTGAAATCCCAGATTTTCCATTCATAACTGATCCATCTGTGTAAAAAATCTTGCAATCCTTATACTCGTACCTACTGTTTATCTCATTGAATAATGTTTTATATTTATATTCAGGCGTATCATACTTGAGATTTTTTGATAGTTCTAAGTTAATAGGTAATTCCTGCTTTTCCCACGGACCCCAGGGTGATATTCCCTTTGTGAAAATTGGTGGGAAATTGAACCGTATTTCTTTTAAATATTTATTAGCTCTGATACGTAAGGGTTGCGAAAGTTTTGGTTGAAGTTCATATTCTGTATCTACCGCTGTAGCTTTTTTGTAATAATTATATGTTGGTTTCTCGGGGTAAGATAATGTATTTAAGGCGTATACAATTGAAAGTTGTTTTCTACGTATATGGCATCTCTCCAGCTTCAGCTAAAATACTTTTTATACGACTAGTTTTGAAGGCACCAATGCAAAGTCTGAGAGCGGTGTTTTGAATACTTTCCAAGGAATTTAATGTGCGCTTTTTTGCTGAATCGTAGATAACTGAACCATAATCAAGTTTTTGTCTTATTAGTGCCCGATAGGTGTTTATCAAACATTTTCTGTCAGATCCCCATGTTGTTGATGATAAAACTTTAATTATATTTAATCTTTTGTAACATTCTGATTTGAGTTGATTTATGTGTGCATTCCAAGTCAATTTACTGTCAAATATGACTCCTAAGATTTTTAATTTATTAACCTCTTTTATTCTATGGTCATTTAAAGTTAATGTGATGTTATTTATTTTGTTTTTCTTTTTTGTTAATATCATGAATTCACTTTTAGTTTTAGAAAATTTGAAGCATACTGGACCATTTGTTTAGATCGTTAAGTGTATTTTGTATTAGGTTTAATGTAGGCTTAAGTGTTCTACCGCTACATATAATTGTAAGGTCATCAGCGAAAAGAATTCCCTTTACAGGTTTTGGGATATATGATAAAACATCGTTTATAGCTAGTAAAAACAGGATTACACTAAGTACGGAGCCTTGAGGTAGACCATTTTCTATAGGAGTGCGGTTAGATAATATATCATTAATTCTTACTTTAATATATCTATCTGAAAGAAAATGTTTGACAAATGCAAGTAAATATCCTTTAATGTTAATGTCATGGAGTAAATTCAAAACCCTATGTTTCCAAACCATTTCGTAGGCTTTTTCTATATCTAATGCTACGATTATAGTATACAGATTGTTAGCAAACCCATCAAGTATTTCACTTTCGATATTAATTAAATGGTCTGTGGTTGATCTAAATTGCCGAAAACCATATTGAAACGGTGATAGATACATATTCGACTCTAAATACCATCTAATTCTTTTAGTAATTATTTTTGTGAAAATTTTGCATAAATTGCATGTTAGAGATATGAGCCTATAACTTGTTTTTAGACTTGATATTTTTCCTGGTTTTAATATTGCGACCACTAAAGCTTCCCTCCAACAATTTGGAAAAACCTGATTTTTCCATATATAATTAAACAATTGAAGTAAATATTCAAGTCCGCTAATCGGCAAGTGTTTAATAATGATATTTGGTATATTGTCTGGACCTGGACTTGAATTGCCTAATCCAGAAAGAACCAGTAGCAATTCATGCATGTAAATTTCTTTGTTAATTGTATTAGAATTATCATTAAGATCTAAATTAGAATTTGTTTCCTGGTTTGTTTTATAATCTATGAATTGCTGATCATAATTTTTTGTGTCAGAATTGTTTGCAAAGGTGTCTGCTAGAAGGTTGGCGATTTCAGTAGCGTTCTGACGTATATGTTCCATCTAACTTTTCTAGTACAATATTGTTGAATTTCGTTGTTCGGTGATTAAGTTTTTGGATCTTTTTCCACATATCTCCGGTTTGAGTTTGGTTAGTAATACAAGATACCCAATTTTACCAATATTGTTTTCTACTTTCCTTAAGAAGTCTTCTAAATAATGCTCGCTTTTTCTTATATTCTATTTTGTAAACCGAATTTGGATCATTTCTTGCATGTTTTCTAAATAATTTTAATGCTTTTTTAGTTTCTTTCATGGCCATTTTACATTCGTCATTCCACCAAGGCAAAATATTTTTTCTTAATATACCGGTTGTTTTGGGAATCGCTTTGTTAGCTGCGTTAAGTATAACTTCCGTGAATTTACTTACAATTACATCAATCGGGTAATCAGATATGGTATTAATTGG